CACTGGATTCCACAAACGCCTTCTCCATCATGGTGACAAACGCAGCCTGTCACGGAAACATGGCCCGAGCTGATCTTCCATGGCCGGCCCGATTTTCCGTTAAACGGACGGCCTACAAAGCTGGAACACGATTGTAGATTGCTATCTGCTGCTATCTGTGCTCCTGACGACTTCGTCTAGTGGCAACCTGACCGTGCCGGACTACCCGGTTCAAATGCAAAAGCAGTCTTCTGCCACGGGCCTGGCGCACGGGTAAGTAGCTCTTGAGGTTCGAATCTTGTGCATACAACCTGCAAGACGCCAGGAGCTGTGCAAGCAGATACTCCCAAACGGACTTTCCACTTCTGCAGGTCTTGGGTACCAAGGCTCATCCGCTCCATAACGTCACAGGGAACCCTTCATCTTCGCCTTCATCTCCGAACACGAAAGAAGCCAACTTATATATAATGTGCAGCAAAGGAGCCACCAAAGACCTGTTGTGTCCATCAGTTTGGGCTTTTGTGTGCGTGATGCCATGTTGAGGGGGAGGGGGTTGAACACGCAGCACCAAGCTTCTCAAGCGGAATTTAGATGAACCAATTTCATCTCCACCAAACGACGAGGAGAGGGACCTGAGCCTGCAGACCGAATCTGTGCTGTTCGGGCATGGCCACGTGGCTGGGTAGAGGCTCCTGCTGTGTGTGTTACTCACAAACCCTTCCAGTTGCTGCCGTGCCGTTTCAGGGAATTCGTGTTGCTTAGCTTTTTGCTGTTCCTCGGCTTTTTGCTGATTGCGAGCAAGGCTCCAATGGTGCAAACCAGTGCACAGAGAAACACATGGACGATGCGCTTGTAGTACAAGCCAACTCCGACACCTGAAGCGTCAGGGGTCGCAAACCCACAGCCTTTGGCCTTTGACAGCTTCGAGCTGCCTGAATTACGTTCCGACATAAGTTTGCTGCAGAGTTGACATTCCAAGCTTGCGTTCATCATGACTTGCATTGCAAGATGAATACCGAGCCATAGTGCTGAGCTCACGCCGCTTCTTCTTTGCAAACCACAAAAACATTTGGTCTGGATTGCTTGCCGACTACTAATTGCGGAGGCCGGGCCGGCATGTCGCGCTCCAACAGAATCGTCGCTCTTACAGAGGTTCACTGCAACGCTCGCCAAAGAAATACGAAACCAAAAACATCAGTCTGGCACCGAACAATCGGAAATTGACTGCGGCATACGTCATGCGTCTCTCTTGCAAGACTGGGCCTATGATGTCGTCTTCCAGGAGGTTGGCCTGACTCACTAGTCACTAGTAATACATACGTGGAATGGAGGCTGCTTCTCGGGACAACTTCTACAAGGAACTCGACACGGCATCGACCGCTGGTCTGCCGAGAATCTGCAACATGCCGACTTGCAGGAGGTAGGTCACTATTATGCTGAAACCACCGCAGCCTAAAACATTGGATGCCGTTCACGTGCCCGCCCGTCTGTATGCTGCAGCACTCCTTCACTGCCAACTTGAGCTTTGGAACCCATCGTGCCATAACCCCACGCCCTAGCAAAACCTGCTTTGTCCCAACTCTGCTCCCGGCCGAGAGATCCAGCCACAGCCGCGGCTTGTAGCTGCTAGAGTGATCCTTAACTGGACAAGGGTGCTGAAAGTCCTGGGTCCAGCCGTGGGCTTCTCAAGCGCTGGACCGCTTGGAATGTGCACTTATGGTGGCGTGGTTGCGACATGTACTGAGCTGAAGCATCTCCCAAACCATGGCTCGATGGGAGCACAACAATGCATGTGGCCGTGTTGATCCTGAATAAGAACCAACCTGCTCCATTCATCCCAGACACCCAGAGGTGCAACTTCCGAAGGTGTCGGTGCCTCCGCGCCTCAAGCATGTTGCGGAGATTGGCCACCTGGTGGGTCGGTGCTTCTGCGTGGTAAAGGGCTTCAGGCATCTTCGTACATGCCTGCACCTATTCTGCACCTTATCACCCCCGATGGAGGGAGGGTCTCAAGGGTTGTCTTGAAGCTTCTGCAGCGAGTAAAACACATCGCAAGGTAGGCAAAGGTATGAGGCCAAATCAGCTGGATTTGAACCTGCTTTGCCGTGGTTTCTTGCATAACATGGGCAACGTACTTTCTGGTACTGGGTAGCCATGGTAGCCATGGCAGGACCAGGATGGCCGGCTCCAAGTCGCGAGGTCTGTGGATGGCGCCCGGCCGGAACGGGCCCCGCATTGTATCGGTCGCAACAGAGCCTGTCTGAGAGCCTGGCTGACGATGGATTGTGCCAATCGCCGCGACAGTACAGAGCTATGACCATCACGACCTCAAGCGAATCGTTCTCATCATATCGACAGATGCCAAATTAGGGTGAGGGTGGCTGCGGAAACCGAAACTGTGACGAACAGCAACAGAAACCAGGGCCAGAAATCGTTACAGGAACCAGGAACTCCGGAAATCACGGTAGACCTCTAGTGGCACTCCAGAAAGAATCAACAACCCAAAAGCCTTCGCCCTACACCGCCAGCTTGGGAGACGTGCCTGAAAGTAAAAACCGCAAGCTCTGAACCCGGCCGCCCCGAACTCCCCAGCCCTGAACCTGAAAACGGTCCACCCTCAAACCTGACTCCCTCGACAAATGTCGTTCAAGAATCTTGTTTCCGCGCACTCGCAACTGCAGTTTCGTCACCATACTCTGTTGTTCACCAACCCGTGACATTTCATGAATAGACCCGCACATCTTCAAGCAAGCGATGGGAGGCACGCATACCTTTGGCTACTCCCTGGCTAGACAAGGATGGCAGCACAATGCCTCACCGTTACCTCGTGCATGCCCATGTTGTGAGGCTGAATGTTGCTGCGGCCCAAAAAGCAAGCATGACGATCAGAACGATGAGGCCATTCAGCACCTCAGTTGAACAAAGCCTCATGAAGGGAAGAAGATAAACGCTGACTTGGCTACGGTTGCTGCTTTAAAGAAGCTCCCAACTATGCTCGCAACTATCTCGCCCGAACCAGCTCAGAACCAGAATCGATTTCTTCACGACCCGATTTCTGCTAATATTGCCTTTCCATACTTTCCCAGCATCAAACCCGTCTTGCGGTGTCAACCAAGCTGCACCAGATGTGACGCCGTTAGAATCCAAATAGAAGACACATTGGCCGTCTTTTTTCATGAATCCTGCACAGAGAGAAACCAAAGGAAATCAGCATTGCAACATCAGTGCGCCTAGAACGTGCCTCCTAAAGTCCACAACTGACGTGATGATTCTGAACATATTCAACATTAGAAACGTGGCCAAGCGCCTCAATTTCATTGTCAAAACACATCAGAATACAGGCCTTCAAAGCACTGCGCGCATTCGTAGTGCGACTCGCAGAATTGGCAGCCTGGCGGCAACAGCGACGATGGAAGACGCATGGGTGTAAAGACTGTAGTTACCATGGCATTGTCGACGGTTCTCGGCTTGCCAAAACGATCATGGTAAGGGCGCACAAGATGCATCACCAAAGCGTGCAATTTAACTCTCAGGTTTCACCCGCCTGCAATCTTGCAAGGCTCGCAAACCTGGATGTCTGAATTCGGAAGAGACCTGCCGGGACTGAACTTCGCGCAGTCCTTGGTCAGAACACGCGAGGATACGCAAGGACAAGCAAACGTTGCAGCCGGGAGAGCTGCTCATGCACACAAGACCCTCACTCACATCAAGCCGAGCAAAAAATCCTTCACAGCCATTCTGAACTCTAATCCAACGCTCAAACAGTCCGAGGCTCTTGTTGTGCCACACAGGTGAATATGCAAGGGAAAGACGGATTTGGAGCCACATATGAGCACTCATCCTGGGCGAATGATGGAGCAAAACGTGGCTGCTTGAGCCGCCCACTCCAGCCGCAGCAGAACGTCAAAACCCAGTTGAACAAACCTTACCCGCAAGCCATGTGCGTCTGTGCTGCTATGCCAGACTCGGATCGAATCCAAAATCATGCAAAATCCCCCTTGCTCTCTAGCCGAGGCTCTGGACAACGAAGTTGCCGATAGCTAAGCGTGCAGTTTGTGTACTGCTCTTTGTAGCACATCGGTCGCATAGTCGTCGCTGCATCATAACCTGTGCTACATTCAAAGCAAACCGATTGGCACCATGTCAAGATGGCACACAAAAACGAACACGATAATGAACGGTTCGAAGCACCGGCTGCCATATCCACAGCCGAAGTTCCACATGCCCCATCGAAGGCATTTACAGCCCTGCCATGATGCGGAGCTTGTGCAGCAACCCGAGAAAACACAAGCCGAGAAAGAAATACCACCCAAATGCAACCACAAATTTGCTTGTACGACGCACCACAGCCAACGACCACCTTTTGCCGGTACAGGGCATACATCATAATACACATTTGTGCTTGCCACCTGTGTACTTTCAAGCACCACTTGGCGGGATCATGCTTACTCAAACAATCAAGCCAGCAGGACTTCATGGCACCCACCAAGGCAGCCTCAACCACATCGCCCTGCGCGTCGAGTTCAGCCATAGAAAGGTTTACGGATGAGGGATGCTTCGAAGTGAGACAGCCTGGGAGGCACTGCCGTGCCCTGCCGCCAGCGGCAACAAAGCCAAAACAAAGCAACGCAGGTCCATGGCACCAGGACTGCTTTACATCGATGCAACGAGGTCTGCATACGATGCATGCGGCGAAAGCACTCGGCTACAAGTAGCATGGTTTGGAATCCTCTTGTTCTTATTTGAAGCACCTGGTCATACAGAGCCAAACACCGTTATCAACAGTATTCTGCACTCACCCAGACACTGCGCATAGTTGTGTAGCTGGCTGCGCATACATGACAACTCATGTTTGGCATGTCTGAACCATTGGTAGTGGAAATCGTGGTGTCGAAATTATACATAATGAAGCGACGGCACCATCAGTCTACGTAGGCGCACGGGCTGCAGCGCTACAACGGAGAACGTACAACACAAGTCCTGGCTCAGCTTGGGAGACGAGCATGCTCGTGAACGCGTGCCTTCAATTTGCCCGATCTTTTCGATGTTTCCCATAGCCGGGCCTGCACCAACGGCGCTCGCTGTCATTTTCCGAAGACCACACCCAATCACGAATCCTTAAAAAGCACATGGCCTGGGCCATCGTTAGTTGATCTTCACGTGAACGATCTTGCCTGGACCGCATCGCTAGCAACATCTGAGCAACATCAACCCTCAACTGCGGGAGGCAGTGCACTAGTGGATCATTGCATAAGGAAGCAAGCCGACACAGAATCTGAGGCAGAGGCCACGCGGTTGTCACCTTGAATGGGTTTAGGGGACCTGCCAATGATGAGCATTTGACCCAATGCTCTGCACCCTTTGCAGTGTTCTGGCTCACAAATCGCACCGACAGTAAAACAGTAATGTAAACAGCGAAGGCACTGACAGCACGCAGGCCCGCTGGCGACAACAGCCGCGCGCGAGATGCGGCATCAAACGTAGAAAACGTGCATTTTCAAGCGCGTACTGGTCGCTATAGCGAGCGCCGCCCGATGCTGCCACCGCAGCAAACAACCCAACTGCGCAGCCGGGGCAAGCGACGCCACGGCCACGTGAAGCTTAACCGCCATAGCACTGAACAAATGTCCGCACTTGGCTGTCCGCAATGTTTGAGAGACAACAGCAGTGAGCACTGCGTGTAAGTTGCGCTGGAAATGGAGGAAGCCGACAGACATGCCGGCTAGGACACGCAAAAGTTCCGACCGTCCCACACGCCATCGCTGCGGATGTCAGGAAGCATTGTGTTGCTGCTGCTGCTGCTGCTGCACATGTGCACATGTGAGTGCTCCGTGCCGCTTGCAAAAGTTGCAAACGGCATCATCGTCGGTGGCGGTGACGTCGGCTGCACGTCTGCACATGTTGCATGGAACGCTAGCAACTACTCGAGCTGCGCCCAGCGTCCGACGTCCGGTCAGACAGTCGCGTGGACGTTGCAGCAAGGCTTCGCCTGCTGTGGTTCGCGGGTCGCGAACGAGGTGGAGCAGCAGGCACGGCGTGGCTGGGACCTGGGAACAGGCACGGTTATGTGTTCACGAAATTACACGAGCATATGCGTCCGCAAGAACGTGCCACTGCTCTACGCTGGTCTTAGGTACAAGAGGTCCTTATCTCACCTGCGTGTTGCGCCTCTCTGCGCCAATACGCACGAGTCTGTTATGTGAAAAAATATATATGGAAACCCGAGGTCTTCCAAGCGTCAACGAGGGCCTCGTCACGGGTAGCTGTGAGTGCACGTCGGCAAGAACCTCGTACAGCTCGGGCTCATCCCCAACGACAGTGCGTTCGTGTGCGAGCAGGAGCTCTGGCAGGCAGATGGCGAATGCGCACCGGCCGCTAATATCCATGCACCGTTCGGTTGAAGTTGCAGACCGACGCAAACACTGTACCTACGCATACCATACCCCTACTGGTAATTCGTGAAAGGCGGTCGGCAAAACTTCTCGCGCAGGCCCGCGCAGCCAGCGCGCCTGTCGCCGTGCGACGCGCTGCTCCAGCCGCTTGGGTGTACCGTTGGAGCGGCATCCTCTCCGTAGCCGCGTAGCGGGCCTTCGCCACTTCACTGCTCGAGTTTCCTGCTCCCGCAGAGCTCGGTGCTGCTGGTGACGCTGGTTGCAAGCACCCGCCGCCAGCCGCCTCCCAGCCCGCCCCGCCTAACCCGTAGACTGCAGCATGCACCGAGACCGGACCATGTACTTCTAGACTGTTGCAACAAGGTGCTGCAGCAAAAAACAATAGGAAACGTTTGGTTCTGGGATCTGAGTTAGCAGGCCGTGGGAACAAACACTGCGCCACTGCTGCCCGACGAGCGCCTGCGGATTCGCCTTACACAGGCCTCCGACCTCATCCGACCTCTGCAGCCAGGACGCGGTTTCGGCATGTTTTTTTTTTTACACACCTTTTTCCAACTGCCTGCTGTCCGGGATGCCAATGGCAGTATCCTTTCGCACCGCCTGGCTACGCCTAGCAAAAACCTACGGCTGGAGCGGCACAAGACTCGCCCCGGCGCCGTCGGCAAGGTCCAGCACCCTGTCCGGGCTGCCGCTTGTGGCAGGGCCGGCCACGCGCCACCGAGGGCCGTGCCCGCTACGGCTTGTTGGACTGCGATGGATACGATGCCTTGCCATCGCTTCGACCGACCAGCCTCCGGCAGCAGCGGCACGGACAGCAGGCGGCGCTCGTTGTGCACGGAGGCGGACGAGATCGCGCAGGAAGCGGAGAGCCGGCACATTCCATCGCCTTCCGACCTCGGTCCCCAGCACGACCAGGTGTGGGGGCCCGCCGCGCGTAAGCTCGGGGTAGGCTGCCTGCTTGCGGCGCTCTGCGACACGCAGCACTGCACCTTCCGTTGCGTCCGCGCACGGCTGCGGGTGTCCAGTGCGGAGGTAACCGTCGGCCGTTTCGCACCGACAGCGGCAGCGGAGCTTCATCTGGTAGCGCTGCGAGCTCTGCCGCTGCAGCGGGCAGCTGCATGTTGCGCGGATCCTCGGAGTCGCACTCCAGTTCCGATTGCAGTAGACGCAACAGGCGACTCGGTGGAACGGCAGCAGCTCTCCGCAAAACGACCTCGAGTTCGGCGAAGCCCGCCCCAACCCTCGGGCAAGTATGCCACGCCGTTCGCGCCGCTTCTGTGAGGGTGCCCGCTCCGGCATGCAGCAGCGGAACGAACAGCCATGAGCAGCGCTCGCCCGGTTTGTAGTTGGGCGGGCGCATGTCATGTTTCGGCCGCAGAGCCGAGGGCGACAGCGGTCCGCAGTTTGGCTGCACCCTCGCCGGCAACGGGGCTAACAAGCGTGGCACCGCAGGCGAGGCGCCGTACACCACAAGGTCCAGTCGCCTGCTCCTGCTGTCGGACGAAGCAAACCAGCTATTGACGTGTGGGCACCAAGATCCAGCAAGCCGGCGTGCGTGTCCTACCGCCTTCAAAGGCATGCACGCATGTCGCAGCTAGGCACGGCTACCTGTCACGCATGTTGCCCGGCCAACACGGAGCAGGCGCAGTGCGCAGCGTGGACTGCAAGCCCCGCGCGCCCAAGATCGTACGGCAAGTGCTCCAGCGGGATATATGTTCTTCGCGCACCCGACGTTGCCCACAGTCGCGGACATAGGCGAGGCGTCCGAGCCACACGTCCTCCTCGAGCTCGGCAACCCCGCATGGGATGAGGCCTCCACCGTTATCGTTGTAGATCCGCACTTTACACGATGCCACAATGATTCCTGAACCCACCAAGCCACGACGTCCCGCCGCGCCTTGCTCGCAACCGAAGGCGGCCCTCGACACTGTATTGTAGGCGCTGCGAAGAGCCCACCGGCTGTTGTATCCCATCCCGTACCCCAGCTAGAACCGTACCAACCCGGATGTTATAGGCGAACGATTGGGTGAGTGAGTCAATGAGTCTCGACCTGGGGTGCTCTTGGGCCAGGGAAGCGGTTCCTGTTGCCTGCTGTGCCCCTCTGCATATGTCATCGGGGCTCCAACGCACTCCGACCCGAGCCGTGGATCAGGGGAGGGATGTGGCACTTATGCACAGCACCGGCAACAAACTACGTTAAAAAAACATATTCGCCTTTGTGGCTGCTGCAAATACTCGAAGAGTGTTCCCCTGGAGTGTGGGGCGATGCCTGATGTTGGGCATCACCCCTCGACCAAAATGGTGATTGGATTTTGTACGTACCGAGCCTGCGCCAGAAATTGCTACCGAAGCTCTCGCCCGTGTCCTTCGCACAGCCACGGACGTTGACCCCCGCACAACCATCCTCTCCGTCGATGCTGCCGGCGCCTACGACCATGTGTCGCGTGCGGCCATGCTCGGGGCTCTGCAAGCACGGGCGGAGCTGCAGCCACTGTTGCCGTATGTCAGGCAGTTCTATGCATCGCAGAGTCTTTACACGTGGGTTGACGACCAGGGGCGCAGCCATGACATTCTGCAAGGTGAAGGCGGCGAACAAGGTGATCCGTTGATGCCCGGCCTGTATTCCCTCGCAGGGCACGAGGCGCTGCGCACGGTCCAGGCTCGCCTCCGTGATGGTGAAGCTGTGTTCGCGTACCTCGACGACATCTACGTCGTCGCGCTGCCTGAGCGAATACGTGAACTATACTCTTCGGTCGAAGACGCCTTGTGGCACCACGCGCGCGTCCAGCTCAACCCCGGCAAAACCAAGATTTGGAACGCTGCCGGGGACGAGCCTGCTGATATCGGCGACTTGCAGCGTCAGGAGGCGACCCAGTATGCTTACCGTGCTCGGGACACCGCTTGGCTCCGAGCCGTTCATTTTACATCAGCTTCGAGCTAAGCGGGCTCAGCAAGACCGCCTGCTCGAGGCTATACCCGGCGTCGAAGACCTGCAGGCGGCGTGGCTGCTTCTGCGCTATTGCGCTGCGCCGCGCGCAAACTACTTGCTGCGGGCTTTGCCCCCTGCATTGACGGCTGACTATGCAGCTGGGCACGATGCGGCGGTAGCCGCATGTCTAGCCACCCTCCTTGGCTCTGCGGAACGCCCGCTGCCGGAAGGGCCCCTGAGAGCTGCCCAGCTCCCCACCAGGTTCGGAGGCCTCGGCCTGCGTTCAGCTGCAGCTGACCGGCATGCAGCACATTGGGCATCCTGGTGCGACACGCTCCCAGTGCTGCAAGCACGGGCACCGGCCGCTGCTGCTCGCATACTGCGGGCCTTGCAGAGCCCGGTTGCGCACCAAACGCCATCCATCACCGCTGCGCAGCAATCAGCAACCTACCTCCGAGGTCAAGGCTTTGCCGCTCCACAGTGGGATGCGGTTCCGGCGGCCCCTCCAGCTGCCCCCCGCAGCGACGAAGCAGGTGACCACTTGCGAGGCTGGCAACGCCCCGCCGCCCACGCCTGTGACGAGCGCGCGCTCGAGACGCACTTTGCAACCCTTTCCCCCGCGTCCCAAGCGCTGCTGCTGTCGCAGACAGGCCCACATGCCAGCCGCAGCATCTCTGTCCTGCCAACGCATGCGGATGTCGCCATTCCTAGTGACCTCTTCCGGGTGATGCTGTTGCGACGCCTCCGCTTGCCACTCCCCCTCGCGCCCCGCGCTTGCAGCTGCCGGGGGCACCTCGATGCCTTCGGAGACCACCGTGCCGCATGCGCGACATCCGGGGCCCTCGCTGCGCGCGCCATCCCCTTGGAGCGCGCTCTTGCGAGAGTATGCCGCGAAGCGGGAGCACGGGTTGCCATCAATGTGCGTCTCGCCGACATGAACCTTGATGTTCCCGTGCACGATGCACGCCGCATCGAAGTTGTCTGCAATGGGCTTCCGCTTT